AAAAAAAAAAAAAAAAAAAAAAGGCCTATCTAGTTTATCCCACTTTAGGGCAAAACCTCTAATGGAAATCTTTAACCTTCAGTAACCTCCTTACAATTTAAATATTTAGTCAGGATAGTTTGCTCTTGATAAGATTGATGAGTAAATATTCTACCTACCTATTAATCTTGTGATTAGTCTTCCCCTATAAAAGTGAACAGATACCTAACCCCAAACAGCTAGCTAGGTATAACAAAGACACGTGCTACCTACTAATCTTTTCAGAAAGTGCTTCAGGCCCCAATGCACAAGTTTGTTGTTAAGGATACATTCAAACAAGCACTCCCATACACTTCTAAAAGCATTTTGGCAATAAGTATTAATAATTTCAGGCAACTAATATAAAAAAAAGAAACAACAGACCACTGTGAGCAAAGATTTCTATACCCTGTTGTTCATTTCAACATTTTAACAATAACAGAAATTATTATATCCTAAATAACCAGAAATAAGGTAATAGTTAAATGAATTACAGAAGAATGTTATGGAACTATTATGGCTTCCATAGGCTTTCCAAAAACATAAAAAAAATGAACCAGGCCAAGTGGTTCATACCTGTAACCCCAGCACTTTAGAAGGCTGAGGTGGGAGGATCAAGTAAGGCCCAACAGTATGAGACCAGAAATGTACAAAAGAAAAAAAAATTAGCCAGGTATGGTGAGGTGGGTGTATTACTTAAATCCAGGAGTTAGAGGTTGCAGTGAGCTATGACTCTGCCACTGTACTTGGAAAGAACATGGGAAAATGCTCATGATACAATGTTAAATGAGAAAAAGCAAGGGCGAGCACGTGGCTCACGCCTGTAATCCCAGCACTCTGGGGAAGCTAAGGTGGGTGGATTGCCTGAGCTCACAGGTTTGAGACCAATCTGAGCCAGAGCAAGACCTCATCTCTAAAAAGAACCGGGCATTGTGGCAGGCACCTATAGACCCAGCTATTCCGGAGGCTGGGGCAAGAGAATCTCTTTAGCCCAAGACTTAGAGGTTGCTATGAGCTATGACCCAACAAGCACTCTACCCAGGGCAACAGAGTGAGACTCTGTCTCAAAAAAAAAAAAAGAAAGAAAGAAAAACAAATAAAATACATGAGGAGTAGGATGACCTTGACTATATTTAAAAACAAAAAAAAGGGCGGCGCCTGTGGCTTAATGGAGTAGGGCACCGGCCCCATATACTTGAGGTAACAGGTTCAAACCCAGCCCCGGCCAAAAAAAAAAAAAAAAAAAACTGAAATAACTAACTAACTAAATAAATAAAAACAAAATACATGCCTTCTTTGCCTACTTGCTCTGGCAAGGAGAGTTACATTCACTGTCTATGACAAATGTATCCCGCTTTGTAAGCTTTTCTTACTGTGCTGCAAACCTATCTTTCTCTCCCTCAGTAAACTTTGTTTCATGCTTGCTTGCCTTCAAAAAAAACATGCCATATATCCACAGAACAAAATGACTGGAAAGAAACACCCCTGGGAAATAATATTATGTGTAATTTTTACTTGATTTTTATGGACCTAGCTTATAAATTCTCTACTATGTATTGGTTTTACAGTCATAAATTTGTATAATTATTATTAAACTTTAACTGCTGGTCTTGTTTTATTAGTGACAGGGTCTCAGTGTCACAAAGTCTGGAAGGCAGTGGCACTATCATAGATCACTGTAACCTCAAACCCAGAGGCTGAAGCAATCCTTCTGCCTCAGCATCCTAAGTAACTGAGACTAAAGGCATCCATCACCACACCCAGCTAGTTTTTTAATTTTTTTCTAGCAGTGGGATCTTGCTATATTGCCCAGGCTGGTTTCCAAGTCCTGGCCTCAACAATCCTCCCCTTCAGCCTCCCAGAACACTTGGGTTATGTATTTCCTAAATGATTTAGAAATGCAAAACTTATTCCTGCTCTTTAAAAAAATTGTTTAAGGCTCGGCGCCTGTGGCTTAGTGGCTAAGGCACCAGCCACATACACCTAAGGTGGCAGGTTTGAATCTAGCCCAGGCCCGCCAAACGACAATGATGGCTACAACAGCAACAACAAAAAATAGCCGGGCATTGTGGCAGGTGCCTGTGGTCCCAGCTACTTGGGAGGCAGA